GGCCCGGTCTTGCGGGGGGTCCCCGGGGTCCGCGGTCTGGGTGTGAGTCAGGGCCCTGTTCAGACACAGGCAGAAGCTGCAGGGAGAGGAGCAGAGGGTCGGCCCGCGGCCAGCCTGCTGGGGGGACGGTGGCGGCGGCGGGACAGCGCCTGGGCCGTTGACAACGGACACCTGCAGGCGCCCTCAGGCCGGTGCACTGCGTGTTTCGGGCGGGGCCGGCCGGCAGGCAGTGAGGGGTGTCCACTCTCGCCTGTGCTCAGCAGTGGAGTGAGCGATGCCCTGGGCAGGATACCCAGGGCACGGATGAAGGGGACAGGCCGGTCTGACTCGGGTGGGAATCTCCACGCGGAGGAGCCCGCAGCGGGGCGGCCACGAGGAGGGCAGACAGCAGCCAGGGGGTGGAAAGGCTGGACATCAGCCCCGGGGGCCGCCTTGAGGCCGGGGCGGGGTCCGCTCGCGCCCCTCAGCAGCCCACGGATGGACGGACTCGCCGAGCAGCCTGGCGGTTGTTGCGGGGGTGAGCCGGGCAGCATGGGGCGCTCAGAGCGGCAGGCTGCACCTGCTGGGACCCTCCCCGCGTGCGGAGGGCCGGAGGGCGAGCAGTGGCCCGGGTTCTGCGCCACAGCCCGGCGGGGCACACATGCCAGGTGGGGTCAGTGCCAGCACAGGGACCCAGCCTGGGCGGGGCCGGCACGCGAGGGGCGGGGCCGGCACGCGAGGGGGCGGGGCCGGCACCCCAGGGCACCTGCAGGACTCATGGACATGAACCGTCCAGAATGGGCAAGTCCCGGGGGTGGAAGCGGGCTGGGTGACGGGTGGGCGCATGCCGGAGGGTCACGCCCTTCCTCCCTGGAAGGCTCTGGACGGCACGGCAGTGGCTGTGCACCACAGTGGACGCCCTCACGTCCAGGGGCCGGCACGTGCCGACTCACCTCCGCCGGCAGCCTGGCCCGCGGGCACTGGGCCCGTGGGAGGCACCCACTGTAGGGGAGGGGCGGCACCTGCCCTGGCCTGTTGGGGCGCATGGGCACCATACGCACCTGCCCGGGGCCTCCTCGTCCCCCAGCACCATGCCGGACGTCACCTTGCTCCAGGCCAGCACGGGCTCTCCTGGGCCCCAGGGGGCTTCCTGGCCCTGAGCAGAGGACACAGCGTCAGGCCCTTGGACCAGAAGGGGTAAGGAGCCCCGAGGCGGAGGCATTTCCGGGCTGCACCCACACTGGCCCTGCGTGGGCGTACCCCAGACTGCAGGGAATGTGGGACGAAGGTCACGATGCTGGGGCTCGTCTGGGAGACCAGGGGCCCGGCTCGGCAGGGCGGCGGGGCCTGGCCGAGGCCGGCCGCCCTCCGCTCCCTGCAGGCGTCCCTCTGGCTCCGGGGCTCCAGGGCACACGGGGCCCAGGGGTGGTCCTGCAGCGCCTGGCGCGGGCTGGCGGCCGCCCCCTGCCACACGAAGGCCTGCGGGCGCCCAGGGCTGCAGGGGCGGCCCAGGAGGCCCCGCGGCTGGGGGCAGGGGTGCAGGGGCTCCTGGTCCCCCTTCGCAGCTGCGCCCGGGGGGACGCTGGGGCTGGGCCCCGCTTCCTTGGCTCCCGAGGGAGGCAGCGGGGAGTCCGTGGTGCTGCCCGAGGCGCCGGTCCCCTGGGTGGCCGTGGCGCTCCAGGGCCTTCGGGCGGGGGCCTCCCGGTCTTCACCAGCGGCCCAGGCCCTCCGTGGGCCAGCG